AATATAATAATAATAATAATAATAATATAATAATAATAATAATACAATATAATAATAATAATAATAATAATAATAATATAATAATAATAATAATACAATATAATAATAATAATAATAATAATACAATATAATAATAATAATAATACAATATAATAATAATAATAATAATACAATATAATAATATACTACTACTACTAATAATAACTATGATAATAATAATAATAAGGAATATAATATAAATTATCTTCTCCATCTAAGAAATGCTTAAAATCAAAAAAGTTTTAACCATTGTAACTGTGAAGACAATGGTACAGCGAAAGTGTTAAAGTAATATTTCAATGTTTTAAATTTCACTGTATCGACTAACAAGTTACCTTGAAGTGGAACAATCGAATTACATTGTTCCGTACAAAGACTTTGGTCGGACACCGTATATTAAACAGGGAACAGATGGTTTTGGTACTCTACATTTTCTACAGGGTGTCCCAGGTTTTAATGTTCGAACTTTGTCAGTATGTTCTATGGCACAAAGTAAGAAAAAAATGTTATGTAAACATAGGTCATATAGAGCTTTATTAAGAAGTTATAACAAAAATTCGGAATAGGAATGGTAATCAACTAAAAAAAAAAATAAAAAATAAAAAAAAATCTTCGATCGATGTCAATCATGTATCGTCAACAACGGTTATTAATACATTTCGAAATGTATTAATAAACACAGCTTACATAAACACACGGCATGCGCTGATCTATTCAAGCCAATGCTCGCAGTAACAGCAAGTTGATTACTATTCCTATTCTGAATTTTTGTTATAACTTCTTAATAAAGCTCTGTATGACCTATGTTTACATAACATTTTTTTCTCACTTTGTGCCATAGAATACGCTGGCAAAGTCTGAACATTAAAACCTGGGACACTCTGTATATTAATTTGTTAGAACCTGGAAGGAGATTCGCACCATGTACTTACTTACAGGATGGCCTGACAAGACAATGTTAGCGAATCACATGTTTAGACATCTGTCGCTTATTTTCGCATACAGGTTTAGCATTTTCTCTGTGTGTGTTCAACCGATCGTGATTTGTAAAGCGACTCGAAGACGCTTCCAATGATTGCATACGGATAGATCGGGACACGAATCGCATGGGCGACCTAACGAGAATTCCATGGTTCAATTAAAATATCTTACGATAATTCGATTCGACTAACAGTATAACAGGTTGTTGTTCCCAGCTTCGAACAGCGATTCGGAAACGCTCTTTCGCTGAGAACGTTGCCTTTATCTCCGCCGGCACTCGGTACATTAATGCCCGATGGGCGCGTTGAACTCAGTCTTCGATTAGTATGAATTACAGCACGCGTTCCCGGATCCGGACCGAGCGATCGAAGACGATCGGTGCGTTGTCGAAGAGAGTACATGTAAAAAAATAAAGCCTCGAAGAATGGAGTTATATTTCGTTTGTGCTGACCTTTTTTTTTTTTTTACCGCGACATATACGTATTCGGATGAACCGTAGCTGTCGGTAATATGGAACACCTGGTTTCGGAAAGCGCGCCAGACACGGCGGAATCTGTTTTCATTATTTCGCGAGACGCGACGCACGGAATTTTACGGCTTGGTGTAATTTCGAAATTCTTGCCAAGAGGCCGAGAGAAACGAAAAATTAGTCGAAAAGTTGGTTGGATTAACGTGAAAAACGAAAGAAAATCCGTCGAGAGGATGGAACAATTTCGCTTTCT